GTCAGATTAGTGATGGCTGGATAGTATTGGGATAGTCAGATTAGTTATGGCAGGCCTAGGATAGTATTGGGACAGTCAGATTAGTGATGGCTGGGAAGGATTGGGGCAGGCAGATTAGTGATGGCTGGATAGGAGTCAGATTAATGATGGCTGGGTAGTATTGGGATAGGCAGATTAGTTATGGCAGGCCTAGGGTAGTATTGGGACAGTCAGATTAGTGATGGCAGGCCTAGGATAGTATTGGGACAGTCAGATTAATGATGGTGGGGTCATTGAATGAGAAGCTTGACTGAAGTTGCATGTAATGGTAAATTAATCTGTATTTACAGTGTGTCTGGCACCAGTGGCCCGCACATGGTCACAACAGGTGAGACTGAAGCACAAGTTCAACAACAAGAAATCATGGCTGAATCCACGTTCTCACAAATACAGAATATTCCAGGTGGCAACCCAACCTTTGTTTTTACCTGAGGATTTTCCTGTCAAGGCCTGTCCTCAATTAGAACGGAAGAAGAAAATACTGGAGGTAAAAATAGTTAAATATAGTAGCTTCTTCTTAATTTTGTATTGGTTATAACTCTCTGCACTGCATATTATTTTAGTGTTCCTCCTCGAAGCTTTGACAGAAACAGAGAAATGTATAGTCTAGCGCAAGTAGTGAGGTGAGGATAGAACTTACAATTAGGTGGGATCTTTGACTTTTGTTTTTACTATCAGATGGAAATCGTAGTACACAATTTGAAATACAAGTAGTCAGAACACATCAGATGAGAAGGTGAATTTTAATTCTGTAAAATAATCACAAGCATGCCAGTGAGTCTCAGTTACACAGAAAACAGCCGGGGGGGGTCCAAAGCTAGGTCAACAAGATTTACAATACGTGGTTTTTCGCTGTGGCTTGTTTAAAATTGCTAGGATTACTTTTGGCTTTCTTCTGTTTCCTTGGGCCCAACACTGATATACTTTATCAAATGTTTACCCCAAAATCATTATAGATTTTCTGACTCTTTACTCATGTGATAAACCGACTGGGAGTTGGCAATCATTGCCCCCTAGATGGTAGCAACTCTTTAAGTTTTAATTATGATGTGTAGCAATGCTTTGGGACAGATTCTTAGGAATTGTTTCTCTACTAAGAAACAGGAATATTGGTACTTTCAAGAGAAACATATGGTTACCTATAGTTACAGTAGTATGAAGTATATAAGAAAAAAGCCCCCTGCCCCCAAACTTGTGATAGTTGGTTAGCATGTTTATTAAAAACTCAAATAATAAGTTCATTTTCAAATTGTAAAACATACTCGGTAAACCTTAATACAGTTTGAGTTAGATACCCGAGGCAACAGGATAACTAGCAAGCACTTGTTCAGAAAGTTTATGAAAAAATGAATTAACTCCAGAGCACAAGCATACAAATTTGCATGACATTGTGGTAAATATATGTATGATTGTCTTTTACAGGAGGGTGATAATGTGATGGGTCATGCGGAGGAGTTTATCTATCGGGGCTGTGAGCGTATGTTTCGGGAGAACAAGATGATTGTGGTTTGTCAGAACCTTCCCAGTCCGGCTGTTGACATAGCCAAGGCAAAAGCAATGCTTGATAAATCAGGCATGAAGCTAAAAGTATACAGTAATAGATATGCACGGTAAGTGATATACGGGTCAATTAGGCCTCTTGTCATTCTGTTTAAACCACCATTGAATGGTGTGGTACATCTCGATCTAGAATATGTTTCCCATAGGCGCCAAAAATAAATTATGCGTGTTTCAGGTATACCAACCTATCTTAGATTAAAATAACAAAACGTTTATTTACCTACCAACTGGCCCTATTTTAAGGTCACCCTGAGCTTTAGCTGAAGGACATTCATTTGTAACACACTTCTTTAGTTTTACTCCAACTTTGCAGTGATAATTGACTGATGGACCTCGCACTGGTGAAATACATTTTTTTTTGTATGACAGATAATGTACTATTCTCCTTTGACATCATTATTTCAACAACAAAATACTGTAGGACTCAGGTGACCGTTAAGACCCATGGGCCTCTTGTGTTTTCAGCTCACCTTCCCGAAGGGCAAGTGAGCATATGCGGTGGTGCGGTAACCGTCGTCCGTCCGTCATCCATCGTACAACATCAACATTTTTAGCTCACCTGCCCGAAGGGCTAGTGAGCTTATGCCATGGCGCGGCGTCCGTCGTCTGTCCGTCGTCCGTCAACTTTTCCTACAAATCGCTATTAGTCATAAATGTTTGAGCAGATTTTGACCAAATTTGGTCAGAAGCATCATTGGGTAAAGGGGAACCAATTTTGTATAAACTGGGGGCCTGAGGGGCGGGGCCCAATAGGAGAAATATAGCAAATTCTTTAAAATCCTTCTTCTTCTTCTGTAGGAATGATAGGATTTGTTCCATATTTGGTCTGAAGCATCCTTGAGTGAAGGGGAACCAATTTTGTATAAACCGTGGGTCATGCCCCCCAAGGGACCTGAGTGGTGGGACCAAAAGGGGGCAATTGGGCTATATTGATTTAAGCGAATTCTTCTCTGGAACTAAGAAATGGATATCAACCATATTTGACTGGAAGCATTCCTCGGTAGGGGAGATTCAAAATTGTACAAATGGTTGGGCTGACCCCCCAGGGGGCTGAGAGGCGGGACCAAAAGGGGGCAATATGGCTATATTGCTACAAACGACTTCTGTAGAACTATACACTGGATATCAACCATATTTGACTGGAAGCATCCCTAGGTGGTGGGGATTCAAAATTGTACAAATGGTGGGGCTGAGGACGGGGCCAAAAGGGGGCAATTTGGCTATATTGCTATAAACGACTTCTTCTGTATAACTATACAATGGACATCGATCATATTTGGTCTGAAGCATTCATGGGAGGCAGGGATTCAAAATTGTACAAATGGTGGGGCTGACCGCCCGGGCTAAGGGGTGGGGCCAACAAAAGTTTATTTCTTGGAAATGGGTGAGATAACCACCCCAAAACTATATATACAAATGCTGGGCATAAAGAGACGAATGCAGTCATGATATTAGAATAGACCCTTGGGTCTGACCGAACCCCTAGGGACCTAGCTTCTTAGTCACAGCATGGAAACAGTTGAGATCCCCACCCTATAACCATATATACAATTGCTGAATATAAAGAGATGAATGCACATATGCTTCCAGGATGGCCTGTGGGACAGCCCCACCCTTGGAAACTTAACCCCTGGGTCATAACTTTGAAACGGTTGAGGTCCCCACCCCAAAAGTATATATACAAATGCTGGGCAAAAAGAGACAAATGCAGTCATGAATTAGAATTGATCTTGGGGTCTGGCCACAACCGTAGGGACCTAGTTTCTGAGTCACAGCTTGGAAACAGTTGAGATCCCCACCCCATTATAACCATGCATTAAATTGCTGGACTTGAAAATTCTAATACAGACATACTACAAGAATTGGCATTAGGGTCTGGTATATTCTCTTGGATATCATTTGGAAAATATTTTGCCATGATTGCTTAGATATTTACAGGTGAGCGATACAGGCCCCCTGGGCCTCTTGTTATTTAAACAACTTCTTCTCAATAACCAAAAGGTTTAGGATGATGATATTTGGCCAGTAGCATTTGGGTTAAAGGGCAACCAAGTTTGTTCAAATGAATGACCTTGACTTGCATGTATATTCAAGGTCACAGGGGTCAAATATGTTTAAAACTTTTAAACGACTTCTCAATAAGCAAAAGGCCAATGGTGATGATATTTGGCCATTAACATGCTTGGATGAAGGACTACCAAGTTTGTTCAAAAGAATGACCTTCACCCATATTCAAGGTCAAAGGAATCAAATATGTTTCAATCTTTAAATGACTTGTTCTGAATAACCAAAAGGTCAAGGGTAATGATATTTGGTCAGAAGCATGCTGGAATGGAAAGCTATAAACTATGTTCATATTCTTTTAATAGGTTCAATGAATTAAACACTGATAGTTTGCCTGTAGCTGTATTTTAATCACTTTTTAAGATTAAAAGTATGGGATTAATACAAGGTGAGCGATTTAAGCCCATTGTGCCTCTTGTTTTTGGCATGTTACCTGAAACACTGGCCTGATTATATATTATACATTACACATCTACAGTACATCACGTGTGTATAGAGAAGTAGAATACTTAAGTTTGCCCATATTTTATTGTTCTACTTGAAGTTCTTATTTTGTTTACAGGATGGCTGTAACTGGAACAGAATTAGAAAGTATGAAGCCGTGGTTCCAAGGGAGAAACATCTTCATCGTCTCTGAGGAGCAAAATGTTGTATCACTTGTCAGAGATCTCAAGAAAATACCATTCTTAATGTTGTTAGGTAGGTTTAAAAGATTTCTAGAAATACCTCTGGTATGTGTAACATAAAATATATGTACATGGCCAGATTTACTGAATAATGGATTGATTCAAATCATTTGACAAATCTGTGATTTAAAATGTTCAAAATTCGAAATTTAGATTGCATTTAGAGATTAAAAATTGGAACTTAAGAAGCACAAAAAAATCTTCTAAACAAGAATAACACTACGGTTTGTTGATTAGTCACCCCATGACCTACTAAAATGGCGTTCGCCCAGGTGAGAACTATTGAATAAATGAAAATTGAGGACTCTACTGACGGAATTTAGCAGCTGTTGGTGATAAAATGAGCTGATTAGGATCAATAAATAATACATTTATTAGGTCACCTGAGCTTTGCTCAAGTGACCTATTCTAATCGCTTTTCGTCCGTCATCGTCCGTCGTGCGTCGTGCGAAAACTTTTACATTTTCGACTTCTTCTCAAGAACCAGTGGATGGATTTTTTTCAAACTTGGTCAGAATCATCCTTGGTAGATGAGGCTTCAAAATTGTAAAATTGGGATTCCTACCCCAACCCCTGGGGCCAGGGCGGGGCCCCAAAGGGAAAATTAACCAATATTTCAAAAATCTTCTTCTTCAGACTCAGAGGTACTACACTCATTT